TCACCAAAATTACAGGTGGGCCTGGTGACAGCTCTATATAGTTTAATCCTTCGCTATCAGTATAATACAGAGCCAGGTCAGCCTGCACAATCCCTGTAGTCTGACCAGACTCTATTAAGTCCAAAGTCAAATTTCAGAGATATCCAAAATAACCATGCAAGCAATTAACAGCGGGTAAGTCCAATTAAGAAATTCAGGAGGTTATGTGTTAGAAACACACAAAGCAACACATCTCCCTAGATTCACGACAATTATCATGAACATTTTATGATCTTATATTTCAATCAGTAAATGAGATATTTATTTGTAGTGCAAATTCTATCATAATGTGTGAAATCATATGAATTTTGCACAATAATAATAATAATTTCATGTGAATGTAAAATGAGCCGCGTCATGACAAAACCGACATAGTGCGTTTGCGACCAGCATGGATTCAGACCAGCCTGCCCATCTGCGCAGTCTGATCAGGATCCATGCTGTTGGCTAACCAACCCTATTACAAGTAGAGAAACTGATAGTGAACAGCATGGATCCTGATCAGACTGCGCGGATGCGCAGGCTGGTCTGGATCCATGCTGGTCGCAAACGCACTATGTTGGTTTTGTTGTGACAAGGCTCTAATGTAAATGTGCAACTTGTAGGAGGTCATGTGAAACTATGTCAGATCTGTAACATCAGATAATTATCATAATCTAAACAGGTTTACTGAATAGTAAATACAACAAGCAGGTAATGAAATATTGACATCTACATTTTCAGTTTATCACTGGTAAAGATAGCTTAAAAGTTTTCAGGGCGTAATGGAAATCAGGTCAATGACCTGCCATGATATACAGAGTGCAACAAACGCTTGTGCATTCCCTCTAGTTTTATTGATGTACAGCTTACAAAAATGCCCTTGGTGTATGCCTTAGCATATAAAATATCTGAATAAAAACAGGAAAGTAGCATATATCAGACAATAAAGGCATGTAACTAAGCACGTTTATCTCAGATAACAAATTGTTGATAAGATTATAATCATTTTAAAAATGCCAGGGAAAAACAATGTTCTTGCAAAGTACAATATTACAGGCTAATATATTTCCAAACAAGGCCATGTCATGCTGTATTTTATTGAGTATTCTGTGGGTGCATGTCCTTGGGAATGTTTTTTAACTCTGCAGTTAGTGTTTTACCAGGCTTTAAAACATCTTAGTTAAATGCGTAAAAGATATTTGAACTCATTACATGTAAATGTAACATTTCCATAATATTTATACATTTACATGCAATTCAAGGTCAATATTGCCCCTCAGGGCATTCGATTCAGCACCATTCCCCTCCTCAAAAAGAGTAATATATTTTCCCCTTATTTTTTTAAAACACAGTCCCATCATTTTTTTTGTTGTTGTTGGGTTTTATGTTGCACCAATACAGTAAAAGTCATATGAAGATTTTCCAGCTTTACAGGTGGAGGAAGACCTCAGGGTCCCTTCCATGCATATTTCAGGTACAAATGGGCACCTGACTACGACCACCAACGTTCCCTAAGCTACCTACAGTGGTCAGAGGCAAGTGGTTTAAAAGTCAATAACCTAAACCACTCGGCTACCAACGCCACCCAGTCTGATTAAAGCTCCATACTATTCATCACTGAATTAATTTTCAAAACTTTAGATATTCAAATTTCTTTCACAAACTATGGACTGCAAAAAATTCAGTGCTGGACAAGTCCATTATTCTAAGTGTTGCCCTGAGGTTTAACAATGGAATATTCCAAAGCAGGAAAAATATGTTATTCAAATTCAGTGGGATTAGTAAGGATTTTGTACAGATTTACAATGCGTTTATTTCTAGTATTATACGTATAAAAGCTGCTACACGAGCTAAGAATTATGTCAAAGTGAACAGCTTACTGTCCTGAAACTGTGTGCAGCAGACTTGGCCTGTTTAACCATTACCCCGAAAAATATCTTACATAAACATGTTCATCTTTCAATCTAAACAAAATCATAAGTCATATTTGTAAGAAAAATTTTAAAGTATAAACTTACTGAATAGCGAACAATGCAGACCATGACGGGACAGTAATGTGTGTGACTGGATTTGGTCTGTGCTGGTTGCATGGCTATACTCAGTTACAGTGACGCCACCTCAGGTTTAATTGAACTGGAACTCTCCATTATGAGAGGAATGGCATTTAAAGCCTTGCAGAAGCCTAATGGCTAAAACTTGTGCTTCATTCTGGGGCAATTAAAGCATTATATTATACCATTAATTTTTTAAATACATTAAATACATTTTGTTTTCTTCTGTTGCTAGTTTGTTGTTTGATTTAATTTTGTTTAAAGTAGGATTTATCCATAGAGTTACCTTTGGTCAATAGAGTAAATTTATATATTAATTTGTTTATTTATACAAATTAAAGACATTCAGAGCTATTTATTGTCAAAATGCAACTTATTTCTGGTGGCATTGTATGTATACATTTATGGTAGCGACAATATAGTGGTATACTATATTGTGATGCAGAGTACCAGCCGATATGTACCTTGTCATTTTAGATTGGTACCCACAGAAGTTTCAATTCTCGTACCACATTATATTATCACAGTATGAGCTTGACTTACAGTATCCTTTGCATCCATTGTTGCAACCAAATTATTGTTAAGTCATTATGGCTGTAAGCAATATATTTAAGAGTGAATTTTGTAATTTTGTAATTTACTAACTCACAAAACAGCTTAAATTATTGAAATTTGCATAATGGCATGTGTTTTACAGGGTTAAACGAGTTAAAATAATTTATGTACAGATGTAAAATGCCTCTAGGTGATCATAAAATGATGTACCTTTGTTTTACACACAAATTATCATCAACATTAAATTTCTACACTTTATACTGGTTCTTTATTCAATTCTTTTATTTATTTTCTTGTTATAAAAATATGCTTTTATTTGCAACCATCCTTTCTATAAAAACAAATGTAATATGAGCTGAATTTCTACCCATGTAACAAGTGCAGACTAAGATCAGCTGGTATATCCATGTTGTCTTATTATGGTCCGCACTGTTCACTATTATGGTCCGCACTGTTCACTATTATGGTTCGCACTGTTCACTATTATGGTTCGCACTGTTCACTATGCAGTCAGTATTTATTTGGAAACTTTCCCTCAATCCAGATCGAAACATGGACAAGTTAATTTAATATATTAAGGGAGATAATGGCTAAATTTTTTAAAGCATTTACACATATAAAGATGATGCCAATCTATTATGTTGTTTAACCTTTACTATGAATATTCATATCAACCTTTGCAATAAATATAAGGAACTTTTTCATTTGTGGTAATTATTTCGCGTTAATCATGCATTGCCAATCCAGAAATCTGCGGTTAGTCCATCATTTAGCAAATGTTAATAAAGCAGAAAGAATTGTTCAAGTTTGAAAACATCTATATAATATTGTACTAGACTCATTTATTCTGAACCCGCAGGGATCATAAGTTCATGTCCTACAACGTTTCCTCATAATGATGTTGAGGATTTTGATGAATAATTCATGAACTCAGTTCATGAAATTTCCATGAATAGAGCATGAAAACAATTGGACAAATTAATTCATTAACTGTTCACGAACCTGATTAATGAACTGTGCATGTACATAAATCGAATTCATGAACTGTGTCCATAATGTTTTTGTTAGTTCCAGGAAGTGAACTCAAAATTGGTTACTATAAGTTGCCAGAACTACTGTTTCACACAATTGAGCTTAAATGAATATGTCTAACAACCAGTATTTATTCAGAAAATATCTTGATATTAAGCTGAGTTTTAAAATATCATTACGTATTTGTTTTGTTACTCTTAACCATCCCTGAACTTCATTAGAAATATTAGGCTTGTTTGGGACTTGCAAATTATATGGACTTTATTTATTTTTCAAACTGCCAAGGATTTTTTTTTATCTTGATGAAATTTTGAAATTGGTCCAATTGGTTAGCCAAAAGTATTGAACCTGGCATGAATTTGCAGGCTGGTCTAGCTTTTAGTATAATACCAGTGGCAAAGGCTTACCAGGTTTGTTTACAGCAAGTTAAGGGTTAAAAAAAACCCCAACAAATCAGCAATTGACGAACTGTCCGGCCTGGAAGACTAGCACTGCATGTATATGTGCTTGATGGCTGGCTAGATTCTGAGATATTTTTGTTCTGGGTCTGAATCTAACATATTGCCCATAAACCACAATATCTCAATGTGTAGTACAATTAGTTGGACTGTAATAATAATCATGCTATGGGCTCTGTAAAATAGGTTATATTTGCTCCTTCTATAGTACAGTAATAAATTAAAAATATTCTATGTTATAATTCTTATGAAGATGACAAAATTGTAAAAAATTAAAGAAACAAAAATGTGTATACTGAAATAATTGTGACCAACTATTATATTTTCTTCATTCTTCTTTTTTTTTTTAAATTCTATATACCGGTATATATTTTTAAAAATCTATTCTGTTCCATATCTGTTGTAGCAAAATATAATATTTACTATCTATATTAAATTTACAATTAACATGTTTTTCAATATTTATATAAATTATGTTTTATCGATGTTAACTACATAAGATTAGTTTAGTTCTATAACTTGGTTTAAATACATGTAAAAATAAAAATAAAACTTTTTTTTGAAACATTTTCTATTCTCTTAGCTTTTAAGAATTTAAATAATGATTTATTTATAATCATTTAATACATAATTTTTTCAGGATGACTGGCATTCACAAATCTACAAGTTGAACACTTAAAAATGTTCTCAAATTCTCTCCTTTTTTTATTTATAATTTTATTTCCATGAGAACCGTGTATAAATTTTTTGTTTCTTTCCCATTTCGTTCTTTTTCATCTGATTTAATCTCTATCATGAAAAATGTACTTCTGATTTTATCAGTGAAATGAATTAACTGGGAAAAAAAATATAGGTAAAAAATTTAAAACAAATTGTTACTTACTCCTCTCAAAATTCACCATAGAAGAAAAAGAATTCATGTAAAGTCAGTATTCCAAATCCATTTCTCAACTTGTGCCCGATCTTATTCCTCTATTTAGTTGAATAAAATGTTATTTGATTATAAATTGACTTTCAAATGCAAGTACTAAACCATGTGGCTTCAACTTAAAGTCTTACGTTTTTACAGCACACATAAATATGAACTTATCAGGTAAAAAGGCCAGGTAAAGAGCCACAAAAACCAATAAATTGCGTACAAACATACACAAAATCCTTTTCATATATTATATGCACTATCTTGCTTAAAACGTTGACCTGATTTTAACTGAAATAGTACAACTAATGTTTAAACAGAGCTATTGCTTCACTGCACATGATCATTTGAGTGTATGTAAAAAGATCGCATTACATTAAGAATTCATTCCCATTCACAAAGGTATAACATAGGGTGCGGAGGTAAAATCTTGTGCAAGGTGTATCTATCAACCAGTCCATGAATAAACCTGCTTTGGGTATTTTTTCATCCATTTTTTCATCCCCATTAAGGGATTTTACAGAGGTGGGAAATTAAGGAACCAGCTTCCCGTACAGCACTGCCCTCCATTATGTAGCAACGCCCTCCTGTACAATGCAGAAGTCCATTTAACCAATCATTGGCCACCTTATGACAAGTGTTAAGGGTACGAGGGGTCAACTGATCCCTAAATTGGACTATGATTGGGTGGTGAGCAGAAGAATTATGCCTGTAACAAATTGACGGTTTAAACTATCTAATACAACCTTTTTTATATCTTGTTTACCAAAGCACCTTAAAAGTGCATAGGAAGTAAAGATTTAATTGATTTCTATGCAAACCTGAAAATATACAATGATTTAATCTTCATAAAGGAACAAAATAACTAAGATTAATAAAAAAAATCATCTTATATTATTTGATGATTTTGGCATTTAAAAGCAAATAAACCTTAACGTGTCTAAAGAATATGTCATTGACTTTTGTATTTTAACATGAAATTTGATGTTTTATTTTGAACAAAATATGATTTTCAATATCCTGTAAATAACCAATATTTTTAATCAATTCTTGTACAACAAAACAGATATCATAAAGGGGAATGTTGAGTCTCGTTCAATCAAAAAAAAAAAAGGGTACAAAACGAAATAACCACAAACTATACTTCTAATTCATACCTTCAATGGCCAGAGTTAATTCATTCAATTTCTTTTGAGAATTTAGAATTATTGATAAAATACAAAATTATCTTAAAGTCTGACCCATTGATAGGCATGTTTATTGACTTTTATTCAATGAATTACAAAATTCAGATAAATGCGTCAAAAGTAAAAAGTACAATGTAATTTGCGATGCATGATATTTTTTTTTGTAAATTGTAGCGCAACAATTCCCACAATACATTAGTACGTAGAGTAAGAAGTTACGTGCTCGTCACAAAGATCATTAATTTTTATGCTTAACTTCATATCTAGGTCTGTACAAAAGTCGCTCGATGAAAAAAAAACACAACATATTTAATGTCATCTATGCATCACTTTAAAACGTCAAAAACACTTCACTGAAACATCTCAAAAGGAAAAACAACAAGTTGAAAAATGTAATAATATCATGTACACAAGCAAGACGTTTAAACAACATAATTGGTTTGCACTACATGTTACATAACCCATCTTAAAGGCTGAATGAAATTACTAGAAATTAACGGTTCAGTGCCCATTGAGGAATTACTCTCATGCATTTAATTATCGCCCACATAATATTCTGTATCAATTGCTTAACCATCATATTAATATTTTGTAATTTATTAATTTATGCCTGTAAGTGAAGTATCTGTCCTTCCTCTTCCCAACCCCCATCCCAATTCTGTTATAAAAAAATCCCTAAACTTCTCCCCCCCCCCCTCTTTTAAATCAAAATACGAGCAGCGTCACGACAAAACCAACATAGTGGGTTTGCGACCAGCATGGATCCAGACCAGTCTCAGATCAGGATCCATGCTGTTCGCTATCAGTTTCTCTACTTGTAATAGGGTTTGTAAGCGAACAGCATGGATCCTGATCAGACTGCGCGGGTGCGCAGGCTGGTCTGGATCCATGCTGGTCGCAAACGCATTATGTTGGTTTTGTCGTGACGTGGCTCAAATGTTCATACTAATGTCACTAATGTATTTAACTATCATATTGCACAGGTCAGAGTTCAAGAGTAAATTAATGTCATTCTGCAAAAAAGCTCATATTAACTGCTCTGTCTCATAAATAACTTTTAAACAAATAAAGGAAAAAACAACAATCACTCATCTCATATATTATATGAGTATGTACAACAGTTATATGATGCACGCAGTATATAACTTTAAATAATGACCCTTTCATGTTAAATACAACTAATTTTTCAGCAAATTTCTTGTTTGGTGACCTATTCCTTGAATTTAATGAATGAATTTCCTAATGTTTTTTTGGAAAGATTTTTGAATTGTTTGCGCCCTTTTCTTTTTCGAGGCATTATCACAACCAAAAAAGACATCTGATTTTATGTAGTCTTGTGCATAACAATATTCTTATCTGCTCCATTCAGTTAAATTCAAATACAAATACTTTGTAAATTTATAAACATTCAACTTTGGCAATATATTGGCTTTCAATTAAGCATGTAGAATCTGCGTGGGCTATTTGTATTGATTTAAATGTTTTTTCATTATACATTCAAAACTATACACAAATAAAGGAATCGCACTTATATTAAATGGAATTTCACTTCCATTGTCAAACTAGTTTTTCCTGAATTTCAATTCACTGAAGTAGTGTGCAATCGATGTGATCTCAAGTTTTAATGATAAAATGGAAAATGTTTTAACAGGTCACTCGTTTCTATTGGCTAACAAGCGATTTATTATTTTCCTACGGCCTATAAATCAAGTGTATAGGTGAATGCTTGTATTTACATTAGGAATTTTACGTTGAGAATAAAAATCAATGCGCAGGTATTTCCCTGCACACTAAAACGGTATAATCATCGTGTTTATTTATCTAACTTTCAAGGTTGCATCTACCTATGTTATTTTGAGTGTATGCCAAATACAGGATAGGGCTTGGTAAAGGTAACAGAGGACTAAATCTGTTTCAGCTCTATATTGTACAATTATTTCACCTATTGTTTTAAACTGTCCTCATCAAGTATGACTTGCAGTGTGAAAGCAAGACTTGTCAGATATTAATTGGTTGTCACAGATTAAATTGTTAATTAGGTGAAAACCAATTAGAAAAAGGACAAAATGATAACATTGTCAAGTCCATTAAAGCCTTTGACTTTAAAAGGCCTAATTATCAGACTCAATTTAACTGAGCCTGCAACTCATCAACTCCCCCACCTAACCCCAGGGTACAAACTTACTTTGACTTTATAACTTCACGAGTGACCAGCGCATTGGGCTTATAAGCAATATATATTCACCACAATGTCACAGTGTTTGTACCCCACAATTAGATTGGAAAAAGTTCAGGAGAATCTCTAATGACTAGTTAGTAGGTTGATCTAAAGCGTTAAAATATTCAGACAACCCTAAAGAACCAATTTAAGTTTGCTGGCTTAAAACTTTAGACTGAAATGGCAGTAAAAATAGCTGATGCAAAAAGGATACTGGTCTGGAACCTGAACAAGTTTGCTGTAAGGCCAGTCGGTCAAAAACCGAGACTAAACAGTTTGACAGTCAACAGGGAGGAATGGTAAGAAATGGTTTAAACATTATCAAATGGAATCATGTGCATTAAAAAATTATGTTTCAAGAGAGTTACTTCCCTTAATCTATGGATAATTTAAGTATAGTTAAAGACATTAGTGTGGTACCAGATAGCATGAAAGGGCAGATGGACCCTCATTTAGCAAAGACAAAAACATCCAAAGAGCATGACTGTAAACCTTTAAATGGCCTGCATGTAACTGTTAAGTGAATAATTTTAATATTATGCCATCAAGTAGTGAGGTACCAATATGTGGTTTTTACCAAAAGTTTATAAATGTATTTCTGTATGAACAAATTTAAAGTAGCTACTACCTACAATCGGGCATAATTTTGTAGCAAAGTTGAAGTTTTGGGGCAGACAATGCCTGATAGTCATACAGAAAGAATTACTGACTGAAAGACATACAATATACCTTTGAGTCATTTAAATTGGGTGGTTTTGGAGGGGGGGGGGGGGGTAAAAAAATATTTTTGCAGCAGCTTTAGGGCCTCAATTTTAGTTAAATTCTCAATTAACAGTAAATACTACAGGTATGCCACACATTCTATCCCAAAACACAAAAAAAATGTGCATAATTTAAGCAATCCTAGCACAATATGGACATTTTCATACACATTGATTTATGAATATTTTAACAACTGTTCAATAATAAGTAATAAACATAGCTTAAAGTAGCATATTATACATTTTTTCTATTTTATTTTCTTTTCCTAACAAAGATATGTAAATGTTGTTGCAACAGAAGGTGTTACTTGAAACAACTAAGTTGTGCATTTTTATGTGGCCAGTAACCTAAGGTTATAAAAACCATTACCATCCCATTTATATGAAGTTATCAGTTCTTTTTGAAAGTGTATTAAAGTGATTGACAGCCTGCCTAGGAACGATGTGGTGCTCTGGTATATTCAAAGTAGCAATTTTTGCTATGATCCGGAAAGTAAACTACCAACACTACCACTATTACAAAAATAAGCCAATTTTTTATAAGTTCTAAAATGTAAATGTCCTATGTCACTTTAAGATGCAACCTGCAGCTCGAAAAAGTTATACCATACATTCTATAATAAATGCTTGTGACAGCTAAATGTATACCATACATTCCCTAATAAATGCTCGTGACCGCTAAATGTTAATCATACATTCTCTAACAAATGCTTGTAACCCCTAAATGTATTCCATACATTCCCTAATAAATGCTCGTGACCGCTAAATGTATATCATACATTCTCTAACAAATGCTTGTGACCGCTAAATGTATATCATACATTCTCTAACAAATGCTTGTGACCGCTAAATGTATATCATACATTCTCTAATAAATGCTCGTGACCGCTAAATGTATATCATACATTCTCTAATAAATGCTCGTGACCGCTAAATGTATATCATACATTCTCTAACAAATGCTCGTGACCGCTAAATGTATATCATACATTCTCTAACAAATGCTCGTGACCGCTAAATGTATATCATACATTCTCTATCAAATGCTCGTGACCGCTAAATGTATATCATACATTCTCTAACAAATGCTCATGACCGCTAAATGAATATCATACATTCCCTAATAAATGCTCGTGATCGCTAAATGTAT